ACACAATGATTGCACTACATAACTAAGTTAAATTAACTAAATATTAAGTACAAATAAATGAACCAAAAACACCAAGTCAAAAATCTGTTAACAATAGCATAGCAATCAAGTTACACAGTAAAGTCATTACAATTCAGTAAAACACTCACGTTCAGCAAACAAGTGATCTGCTTCCAATAAAGTTGCTCCTTCACTCTACCTGGCAGAGTCCAAGCTGCTGTGTCTGTCTTCTCCATTGCACATGTGTTAATGACAATGGCAGAGGAGGCACAGAATAGAACTTTACTCAATAGCAACACACTTTGCATTTACAAAACATGCATTCAATCACAAAGTCCATAGATACACTTAAAAAAAGTCAAATTACAGCAGCAATTCTTAGCTTTAACACTTCAGGTAAAGATGGACAGATTACATACTCAACACTACTTCTGTCAACCATGTGCTCACAGGATTCAACGAAGGTCCCATCATCAGGAGTGGAACAACTTAATTAAACCTCTTCTTTTGAACTCAAACAAGATGAAATAAAGACATTACGTACAAACGCTCTCAGATAACTACACCATGTTCAAAGTGTTTAGCGCTACCATGTTACAAAACACTTCTATTAACCACTACTTAGTACTCTAAAGAATTCCACATTCAACAATAGCCACACAATGATTGCACTACATAACTAAGTTAAAAATTAACTAAATACATATATTAAGTACAAATAAATGAACTAAAAAACACTAAGTATCTTCTTATAGACTCCCAGCAAATTGTCAATGTTTACTTTAGTTTACACACATTTGTAAAACAAACTATCAATAAATATCTTCAAATACGTTTCTCGTTCACTTATTTCTGTCATAAACTAATGTCTGCTGGAACCACCTATACAGCACTACTATACTCAACTATTTACACCGTGTATATATATTTCATATAATACATATTTATTTTATATACTTGTTCACATAACATCCTTATAATTGTACTAGTTCTGTTTATATATACATATCTTAGGTATAATGTGGTATACTTTACTATACATACAAATTTAATTTAGAATAACAAATATATAATAATTGAGATTACAATCAACAACACCACACACGGCAACAATAATTACTGACTAATCTACTTCTACTAACAAACTAATCTAACATCCACTGTTCAGATTTCCATTATTCATTGACAGTGTGCGGCGACTAATGTTTGTATTTTACCTATTTGTGCATTTTTGTTGTTTTAGTGTTGTACTGCAGCTGGAACTCCCAAGGAATTCAAAGAAAGTTCTATCTATCTAAATGCATGCATTTTCTTTTCACCCACCGATCTTACAGTCCCACAGTCGACTGCTGATCCTGTCAGAACATTTTTGGTGTCCCCTGAGAAGAGCCAGTTAGGGAATGTAGCATGTGTCGTAGCAGCAATTCATGAGGTCAACTGTGTCACGATTACACATTTACTTGGTTAAATAACTGTCAGACAATTAGTCACAGTATTAGAATTATTATGCTTTTATTGGTTTCACAACACTGTTGTTGCATGATAACATAACCTTCAATGTCATAATCCCATGTCACATTAGGAAAATGTTGCAGTACGCCAGTCTTCACGTGTTTATTGTTTGAGTTCTCCTTCACTTTGGTTATATTTTCTGATGCTATCTTCTTATCGCTAATCATTAGTGATATCAACTGATGACATCCCTGGTGAAGACATGGCAGCATACAGAGCTAAATAACATCAAAGGATACAGTCACAGTCAACGCACCCCACAGCTCCCGTCTGTCCGTTGTAGGTACCGGTCGTTCCACACGTTGGCCACCTGTGTGAGGAGACATTGTTGAAGGTAAATATTAAAAGGCTTCAATGTAATCATGGCTTCACAAATTATAGGTTTGCTCTACAATACTGGCGCCACCAATAACCTCAGGAATAAATCTATACTATTTTGAAATGAAAATAAATCAATTCTACTGGCTATAGTCGTGTCCCTTTTTTATGAGAACAGCATTATGTTTGTAACACAATTGCAAAACTAGCAGAGAATGACTCTGTTACTCGAATAGCACATTCATACCTTCACATGGACATTCCATATTCTTCACATCAAACTAATTAATATCCTATAGTCATTTGTGGCACCGGTTAATTGCAATAATTTCGTGTCATAAGGACCGTATATCGTATTCCTACTTCCGTTATACAAACGTTCCAATATGATGACGTTCATATATTTGTCATTAATGATTGATATTGTTCAGCAGAATAAGTGCACTTCAGTGTTGTCAAGGCCAGGATTTTAATCCAAGTCTCAAGTTCAACTGGTATTTCTACATGTTTAGGGGAAATTGCCTTTTCCACTAAAAGGCAATTTCCCCACGGCATGTGATTTGATTCTAATGGTATCTGATCATGACTATACATATAGAATAATATTAATATCCTCATTTATAAAATTGTAATTGCTAATGATGTACCAGCACTCCCGATCTACTTACCAGACACCACTGACATACTGTAGAGTTACGTGTAGTAAATGTTCCCTCTGCCACAAATGTAACTCAAACCTCAGACCCAATCACCTTCCTGTGTTTGTATCTACAGTAAAGTCTCCAGGTTTAAACCCTGAGTTGTTAGCAGTCATCTATCCAATGCAAATCTGCAGCAAATTAATGTTTTTCTCTGCCATGGCCCATGTTTACTTAAGCATCAATCATGGCAAATTGTCCGTCTGCTGCCTGTCATACTGAATAAATACAGAGTGTTAACAGAGCCGGCTGCAATCGGAGACAAACTCTTGCCTGTAGGACAGGCTTTGAGACACACCCACTGCCTGACAGTGACGGTATTGCTGTTGATAGCACACTGCATGTCCAGTTTTATTAACTGCTGCATTTACACTCATCCACCATACTGTAAAACCGATCAAATGTTCTCTGTGAAGTGAGCTGAAATAAAGAAAAAAAAACAACTCTTGGGAAGTTTGTACAGGAATAAATGAAAGTGACACCGATGGTAGCAGCTATGTTTATGGCTTGTAATTATTTTGTAATGGTTTTGGAAACCTTGACGATGCACCTGGTGCTGGTAGATATACATGACTGAAAAACACCTCAGTATATACTCACCCAGTGAGAGGGAGGGCCGGGGGAGGGAGGGAAGGTTCTGGAGGAGCTTCAAATTGCTTATTACAGGGCAGTCATTTCTGAAAACAAACACATAAGACTCAACTTGTCAATAGTGCGGACTAACCCTGCCAATAAATGACAATGATGTGACAACATACTCAAACATTTATTGCACATACCACTCAAAACCTGCCAGGATCAGTGAAAGTGTTGTTAAAAGCGTCTGTAGGGTGCGCTTCGTCAAAGTGATGGGTGGATTTCATTTCAGGAGCAGCACTGATTGGCAACATTACAGTTGTGGAAAGTAGTAGTTCTCAACAGCCTCAGGGTCCACCATCAGCCCGGGATGACGAGCCGCGACCCAAATCAAGGAGAAATTTGAACCTTTAGTGCATTTTACTGAATGAAGATGAAACACAGTTTGAGCATGAGATATTAATCTGATGACGTAAGAAATTTTTGTGATGAAACTTAAATTAGAACGATTGTATTCAATAACTTAAAAATATATTTTTTGTATGTTAAAACATTAATTTACCATGTTTGTATTTACAACAATAAAGGTTATTTATCAAACTTTCTAGAGTTCTATTGATTCAGAGCATCAACTGTCACGTATATCTATCTATCTATCTATCTATCTATCTATCTATCTATGTATCTATCTATCTATCTATATCCATCTATCCATTCCATTTATATATATATATATATATATATATATATATAGATATAGATATATATATAGATATATATATATATATATAGATAGATAGATAGATAGATAGATAGATAGATAGATAGATAGATAGATCTATCACGCTGATCACATGACACGGAGAAGACATCCACAGAAAACACTCCCCCTGACGCTGTAAATCGTACTGGAACCGACGTGGGTTCACAGAGACGCATTTGGTTTGAACGCGGCGCACGCAGAGCGCACAGCTCTGGAGCGGTGGCCGCAGTCAGCTGCACCACACACGCTCATCCTCAGCATCAGGAGTTACAAGGACTCGTGCGTGACGTGGGATAACATTTAGATGTCCCTGTTGTCAGTTCGCGTGGACACAGTGGCCGATCCTGGTGCGTTCTGACACCACGTCGCGCGTAAAACACCGAGCCGCTCGTGAGCGCCGCGTAGGGAGTAGGTGAAGTACGATGACCCGGATCAACAGCGGAGGAAACTTGGAGCCATGCTGCGTACTGAGGGCTGCGAACGTGTGCTCAGGCTGGAACAGACGGACAAGAACATAAAGACTGAAATGGTGAGTTTTTTTGTTAACTGTATAAAAGTAGATTATCTTAAATAAATAAAATCCTACTCTGTTACACACGGAGCTGCAAGGATTCATGTTCTCAATTAATGCGCCCATAATTGCATTTGTATTCATTACTGCAACAATCGTATAATCTTCTCAAAGTGACTCGCAGAGCTGTCATAATACGCCTCAATGTTGAAGTACAATTAAGATCTGAATTCAGATTAACACTGAGATTCTATATAGACTACATGAAGAGGGAGTTGGGGGCAACCGAAACCCAAGAC